GCTCTACTTTTATTTTCTTTCAAATTCAATTTTAGTCGAGAGAGAAACTTTTAAGGTTATACTTTATGTAATTACAAAAATTTACATTTAAAACCGAGGACAAATCAATTGCGCTTGTTGGTGAAAAATTGCATTGCACATTATAATACAATAACTAGACAATGAGTGATTTATTTCATTGCATACGATCGATTCTTTGTGGATACTAATTCAAGTCTGATACCAATTTGTTGACACTTTGCATGCTTTTTTGATAGTAGTCAAAGCACAGACTTTATTTTACTATTTTGCATTCTCAAGGCAGACATTTTTGAGGAGTTCATGAACTTTGTTGCGAAATTTTCTCGCAGAAATTTTTATTTGTAGTTTGTGTTCCATTCAAGCGCATCTTGCAGTTTCCACTATTTTAATTGCAAGCGATCTCGAAGGTTATGTAAGCGCGTCTCGGACATGAACTGGTGTTTGTGGTGACACAATGTGTGAAATATGTAGTGGTATTTTCGCTTGTGGGTCGTTACTCCGTAAACAAACAGTCTCGTTGCTTGAGACATCTCGTCTTGGTCAATTCACCGAATTATTTTTACCTCGAATTGTTTTAAAATCCAACGTCGGGATATCAAAAATGAAAACGATTATTTCCTAGTGCCAAGAGTGTATTTTTAAGATCGGCGAAAAGTGTACATTCCATGGCTGGTTGTCGTGTCACTGAACGAACCCATTTCAGATTATGCAGATTTGCAGAGTGCGTGGGCTGATTTATAATTACTCGAAGCCACAATTCCACGTACCACTATTGACCCCCATCGTTAAGTTTTATTGTTGACGAAAAAAGAAGTTTAATCGAGTGATGAGTGCGATTTATCACTTGCCGTTAAGTTCGAACATGCCGCTCAACCTATTAAAGGTAATTTTAAACCGTTGCTTTAAGACCGAACAATCCGCACACCAATTAACCGGTGACGAAGTGAATCGTTCGAATTTTATCCGGTTTCAATGAACGGCCTCCATCATCGCGAATTAAAGCAATTGAGAACGTCTAATTAGGATGTAACTGTGGGAGCGGTTCTTAGTATTGGACTTAATCTCCCAGAAGGGAAGATTAGTGAAATTTCGGCCTCCTTTTTCACAGCCATCACACCAAATATAGAGACGAGTTTTAACTCAAGATGAAAGCGACAGTGGGACAGGACCGACTTTCTCTACAACAAAATATCTACACAAAAAATTACTTTAAGTTAAGAAGTCATAAGTTGCAACAGATTATCCCGCGTTTAACGCTAATACTCGATGGAATCTAGCAAGTGGGCGGAAGCTAGTGATGATCCCAATGACACCAAACATAATCACTAGTATTACACAAGCAAAAATTTCGAACTGTGAAATTTTTATTAAAATACTTACTCCAAAAAGTATATAAGGTTTTATTACAATTAGCTGTAGAAATTTAATTTATTAATTGACATTACGCGAAAAATCCTAGCTAGGACACCCTGTACCTTCCAATTACGTCTGGTATTTCAAAGATAATAGTAGATGTGCGTAACTCACACCATTATGAACTTGGAAACTGTGGGACAACTGATTAAAAGTTGTTTGCAGAACGGAATTCTACAAATAATTAACCTTTCCGCAGGTGTTTGCAGGAAACTCAGAAGTTATACTACGAGGGCGCGACTTGTAACTTTAAAAAAGTACGGATATTTATGAAGTTTCATTTCCAATTTCTACTATTTTAATAAATATTTTTTTTTATTTAAGAGATTTACAAACTTTCAGATAATACTAGTTTACACGATTTTTATACCTTAGCTGGAAGTTATAATTTCTTATAGATTTTGAGGCACTGAGTTCAAAAACAATTTTTTTAAAGTCCACCACGTTATGTCTATAAAATATCTAATTAACAAAAATACATAAACCGCCAAATAACAAATTCAAAATGAGTTAATTACTCTGTGTTTTTCATTTTTTTGGATAAGTTTTCTTTATAACAGTCCAATAGTGATCTCCTAACATATTTTTATCTCAAAAACCTTTGTGCGGATCTTTGAAAACCCTTCAGATCTTGATGAAAACGCTTGCTTTGTTCGTCACTCGTGCTACCTAAGTTTTTAAAGTCCAAATACGAGTTAATGAAATGTATTTTAAGACCTATCTGGTGATAATTTTGCAATAATTCAGCAACAATTTCAATTTTAATTAAATGTTAAATTGGAGGCATTTGTCCAGAAAGCAGGAAAATTAGTGTAACAAAAAACTGTGACGAGATAAGAAATTAATTTTATTTTTGTTTCATCAAAGCTTAATAAACATAAAAATACTAATTCAATTAATATACGTAGTTATATATTCGACGAGTTATCGAGTGGGTTATTATCTACGAGGTGGAATAAAGCGTCCTATTTACACCCAAACGAGTTGAATACAACATTTTGTTCTTCTAATTAGACTCAATAAGGCTTAAACTTGCTTTAAATCTGTTAAAAATAATCTGACGTTTCGTATTGAGAAATGCCAAACAGTTGTCAAAACTTCCTTACACGGGAGAAAAACCGTAAATTTTGACAGTGTTAAAGAATAAAGGTATATTAAACAAGTGATTATTTGTAAACTAGTGTAATCTTTTGTATACAGGGTGCGTCAGAACTCGCGCTCCAGAGAAAAATGCCATGTAAAGTACGATACCAAGAACATGGAAAAAATGTTTAAAAAATTCTGTCTATAAAAATTTCGAAGTTATGAGAGTTTAAATTTTGCATTTTCTATGGAAAAAATTATTTTCCAAGTTTTTTTACTACAGGAAGTTGTATCCTAAATTGTAACTCTGTTTAATGTTATTTGTGGCGTTTATTGGCAAATTTTTGGTACCTTTACTAAATAATTATTAAAAAATATGTACAAAATCGTCATTATCGTTAAATAGACATAAAAAAATGTTAAATGTCAAAAATCAAATGTCAAAATGTTGTGACAGATTGTACTGTAAGTTTTTTTGAATGCTACAGAAAATATTAAACATATTTATTTTTTTCTCGACATGATGGAATGAGTATAAAATTTTGATGTTTCACTCTGTACAGGTATTCACATTCCACGTGCGTTACATGCTCATAACATTCTTTACGGTTCATTGGTAACATATTCTCTCCTCCCATTTATTTATTAATTCCTCATATATGTTTCAAAAATAATAAATAAGTGATTGAAGTTTAATAGCCTTGCATAACATTCTTTTAATTTTTCTAAATATTTCAAATCCTTAATCCGGTCGAGTAATATTAAAGTCCCATGTTTAACTGTTTTATAGCTGGGCACTTGTTGTGTCAGCTAGAGAGAATGAAAGGGGTTGTAGCAGTAATTTGGGATAATTATTGTGACCCTTAATATGATAGTAACTCACATTTCTAAATCTCGCACAACTCAGGAAATTTATGTGTAACTTCCCATTATCGTATTTAAGTGGTTGCATCGATCTGTGGGAGCGATTCAGAACTGGTAGCGGATACGGAAGCGACAAGTGTTGTATCGGGTCGGCATCAAGAAAAAGGGCGGGATTTACGATAAGCCACTTTGTCGGGCATCGTGACCTACGGCTGTAAAGGTCAGGATTAGGAGGCAGAAACGATGCCTTTTTCTCTATCAGCAAACACTTTCGATCTTGACTCGTAATTTTACTGGGAAGGAATAATTTGTCTTGCGTTGGGGCTTCAAGAGGAAAAAATGAATGAACGGGTGAATGACATCAACTTCGCTTCTCATCTTCATCACGCCTACAGAGTTTTTGTTATCCTTGACACGGATAGACCGCAAATTGATTTATATTTTGGAATTTTTTTGTAATTATTTCGGTTCAGCGGAATAAATTACAATTATCAGGTTGATGGTATTGCCTATTAGGTAACTTGTTAAATGATAAATACAGGGTGTTTCACATAATTTTACGAGCCCTGCGTCTGTAAGATGCAATCAACAATACATACGAACTCGATTATAAATTTTGAAAAAGTGGATAATCTTCTGTAGTTTGTTCACCCTTTCAAAAATTACAACATTTTTAGTTAGTTATTGATTAAGATAGATAAACTAGAATCATATTGAGATAGAACAAATGACAATTGTTTCTGAAAAACTGCAGTTTATGACTAYTAATGAAACAGTGATTAGTTTGACAACTACTGTCATGGGTTTCCAAAAATTAAATAATTAAATGTATATTTTTTGTATCTAGTGTTTTGTGAATTTTGTATATTTGGGTGCGGACATTAGGCGCAAGCCTCGTAAAGTTGTGTGAAACACCCTGTATTGTGGCTGGATAGCCGATATCTGTGAGGGCTCGGGTTTTAAAAGAGGATAAAAAACATTAATCACTCTTAAATAGCTGAAATAAAATAAATACATCGTAAAGAAGAACTGCAGCTTTCAGCGTAGCTGGAATAATTCACTCTCCACTGCGACATACATCAGCAAGTAGCTTTCATTTGCAAAGTAGTCAGACAGATTCAAAGAAAGGCCAATTTACCGACTAGACTAGACTATTTTTAGGTTATCACCGGTTGAATCAATATAATCAACTCGTAGTCGAAAATTACTCGCGTTTTTCGATGTTCACAGCTATTTCGAGTTTCTTTGATTGACTCGTCTGCTGAGGTCGTGACCTGTCCAATATCTAACATCACAACCAAGTCTCGATCGAGGTTACCATAAAATATAACCGAAATCACAATTCTTTGATTTAAATCCAATAAAATTGTCTCGGGAAAAAAGCTCGGACATTTTCTTCCATACTCTTTATTTATTGGATGTTAAATCAAAACTGTTCGTTGTTTTGACAGTTACACTTGTCACGATACGAACCGATATTGACATTGGGCATGAATGATTCTGCACAAGTTGAAAGTTCAGAATGAACTTTTGGACGGCGGACTGCAATATCTATTCTACTTTTTATTTAATTGTTTTCTGAATTTACTTTTTGGCGAAGTAAAGTTGGTACATCAAGTTACAATAAGATTTTTTATTGACTATGCTCGAATAATATAACAGCAACAAATATTAAAAGCTTAAAGATTTTTTAAGAATAGTTCTTACATTTATTGCGTTATAGTGCTCCTTCCTCAGTGGCACACCACAAAATTGCATGTGCCGTCTCTTCAGGAGAATCTTTTTCGGTAGTACATTTTTCAGCCACCCTTTCTGCTTCTTCTGCCCCAACCGTAGACTCTAGTTTTTCCTTGAATTTATCTTGGGAAATATTTCCATCTTCATCCATAACTCCATATGCTTTTAATGTGCACAATGCATTTTCTTTTACCAGAGGATCATCCACAGGTTCTAGATTCATAATTTTTTGGAGTGACTCGTCCGAAATACCCGTTTCTTTTTGGCATTGCTCTTCCACACTTTCGATTTGATTCAAATTTTCCTCTTCTGCATTTGCAACAACAAAGAACGTGAAAATCGTAAAGACAACAAACACTTTCATTGTGATACAAACTATTAAAGAATACAAGAAGAAATAGATATTATTTCATAAATGCACTTTTTCATTAATGGCTCATTTTATTTTGCTAACGCACCTTTTATAAGGATATCTAGGGGTACTCTCTATTTTTAAAAAACACCAATTAAATGACTAAGAATTACACTTATCAAATAATTAATAGTTTATGAGCACGTGTATTTATAGAACACGTGAATATTTATTTAAACATTCTAGAATTGTTATTTAAATAACGAAAAAATAAATAGAAACAGGATTTTCAGGGTTGAAAAAGCATAAAAAATTAAGTTAAAAATATTATTACATTTATTTATTTATTTATTTATTATTTATATTTATTATTTATTGCATTAATAAAGGTCACTTTTATTTCTTTTGCACTGATATTGGAGAGTCAATACAAAGTTTAGTTGAAACAAGAAAAAAAATGTCGATTCATGTAAACAAAAACAAATTGAAAATTTATTCACCCCATTTGTTTAGGGTAGAAGAAGAAAAAAGTGTGAATTGTGTGAATTTAAAAAAATTAATACGTTACAAGAATACTATTCAAAGTAAAAAAAAAAACAAAAAAGCTGGAAGTAAAACAAAATTTGTGTTTGTATTTATTTTGTTTCTACTGAATGCTCAGACAGTGTCTTATATTGTATATTGTCTTGTATTCGTTATTTTTTTATTTAGAGAAATTATGGTTCGGGGCGTTTTTTATAATGTAGCCTGTACATGACTCAGCCTGTCTCTTTTAGGGCCTACATTAGAAACTTTATAACTTCTAATGCAGATAGGAATTTGAAATTTTGTACACAACCCAAATCGACCAGTCTGAGTTTAACTAAATTATTTTCAAAATGGCTGAACTTCCGGAACTACGAGAAATTGGCGCCAACTTTGAAATTTTAAATGGTAACCACTTATTTTTAAGAATAACCTTGTATAATTTACGTTTTAAAATTTAAGTGCTTTTGTATAAAACAAAAATTTTTTAATAAGCAATGGTACGAAAAACCTTTTTAAATTTTAATTATAAGCGAGCAAATGAAGCATTTATTTAAAAGCAATATTCTTTTTGATACGCAATCTATGAATAACTACTCGTAATAATGCTTTGCAGATATACGTAACATTATAGATAATGATCTTTTTAATTATGTATTTAAAAAAAAATGCTTTAAAAAGTAACATAAGAATTAATTAAAAACTAAAAACATTAATTTATAGAATTCCTTTTGTATAGTAAAAAATTAAAAGTAAATACTAATGACTTTTGTTTAAAATCAAAATTTACAAATTTAATTCAATAAAATTCACTTGTGACTTTATTGATTTTATTGGATGTTATAATTATTTACGTAATCGGGGCTGTTAAGAAGGCCATAACGATCAAAAAGTAATGGCTCTTAACAGTACGTAGTACGAACAACGTTTTTCGTCGTACCTTCTAGGTAAATTATTACTATATTTGAAAAAATAATTTTTAAATTCTGAAAATGTTAATACATATTTGAGCCAAAACTGCCAAAAGCCTGGTGTTAAAGTAATGCGGGCAGTGAAAACTTCTTAACAGCACTCTGTTATTGTGTTATTGACAGCTAACGATTGTAAATTGTTGAATGTTATTAATACCACAACAAAATTAAACGACGAAATAGTTATTAACGTCGTAAGGCCGTAATCTAGCAAATAACAGACAAGACTGAAGTTTGTAAAATTGAGACGAAGCGGAGCTTTTATTATCAAGCGCGTCTATTATTTGCGTACCCTTTTTGTGATATTAAATGATTTTGGAAAAATAATTCAAAGTCATAATGTCACATAATGTCACACTTGACGCAAGTAGCTTTTCGAGTGTGCCTTTTGTATAGCAACATGCGTAACAACGTCCATTAGCGGCTATTAACGGTCTAGGTTGTTATCGTTGCCATAACAAGCATGGAGATATGATCAAATAACAATCACGTATCATGAAAAAACAATTACACTTGTCACGAATCAAAATACGAACATATATTGACATTGGACATGAATAATTCTGTACATGTTAAAAGTTGAGCTCCGGACTCCAGACTTTTTTAAATTGTTTTGTGAATCTTGTTTAGTTATTTTGTATTGTTCGAAAAGTTATCGAAGTAAATTTGATTCAAAAACTTTGCCAATAATACTCAAACTAAAACTTGAAATGAACTAATAAAGTAAGAGATGACAGGCAATAATCATATCTTCGGAATGGCAGTTCACGTTACCGCCCAATAAAATTTGATTAACGCTGTTATCGAACGCTTTCGACGGCATATTTTAAATAGCCATTTGGAAAGTATCCGATTGAAATGTTCTAAACTTGCAAATGATCTTCGATTGCGAAAATAAAATTCCAAATCAACAAAAATTTTCTTACAGGAATTTATATGCAGAGTCATTTTCTTACCCATTCCTACACAGTGTGGCAAAATATGTAATAATACTCTTATGGCCATTTCTCTAAATGGCATTTTAAATGATATAATTATGTTATAACATAACAGTTCATACTTGTTGGAAAATGAAAATACCATTAGGTACTACAATTTTTTTTTATATTTTAACAGTCTTTTTATTGTATGATTAGAATAAAAAAAATTAAAACTGCCATTAGCCCTCAACCTTTGTCAACAAGCAATTTAAAAGTTTAATAAGCCTTATTTACATTCTTGTATTACCGATTTTTAACTATAAAAGCACCGGACAAAATAAAGTCATTCATTAACCAACGAACCGTTTACTTATTTACTTCCGAGTCCAAAACATTAGAATGAAAATTTTCACTATTTTTCTGTTTATTATTGTTATTACTGGCAAAATAAGTGCAGAAGAGAACATTGACAAAATCGAAAGTGTGGAAAAGAAATGTCAAGATGAAACCGGAGTTTCTGATGAGTCTGTCCAAAAAGTAAATAATTTAGAACCTATAGATGATCCTCTGGTCAAAAAAAATGCATTTTGTATTCTAAAAGCTTACGGAATTATGGATGAGGATGGAAATATTTTTGAAGCTAAACTTGAAGAAAAACTAGAACCTGAAGTGGGTAAAGAGAAGGCAGAAAAAGTGGCAAAAAAATGTTCCATACAGAAAGATACGCCTGAAGAGACGGCACATGAAAGTTTGTGGTGTGTTTCAGAACAGAACGTACTACCTGCAGAAAATAATTAACAATTTATTTAATTGTTAATGTTATCCTTAAAATAAAGAGCATGTTCTTCAAATCGTGATATTTTAGTTTGGCGTTGACAGAGAGTTAGATATACCACCAACGTTTTTTTAATAATTTATAGTACATGTCCCAAAATTTGGGTCAAAAATTGCGCAACTCCTACGACCCAATCAGATTAAAATGATGTGTGTATGTACAGTTCGGCTATTATCTGTCCAGTTATCTATAATTACCTGATTTAACAAATGTCCCATAATTAAGAGAGTGAAATTACACATCTGTATTATCTTTATATGGCTTTCTTCCATTAATTTTAAATGCAAATATTAAGAGTCCTGTAATTTATCATTCGCTGGTCACTTCCATTGAACTGGTATGGTTGTAATTACGCAATTTTACCATGAATCAGCTCCAGGGTACCCGAAAATTTTACCGCAAGAATTCCAACGGTATACCACACAATGGGTAGTTGAAGGTGCTTTAATCAGATTAATTACGCTTTTCCATTGATTTAACAAATAGCTCGGGCCACATATGCAAGTGAGCCTGTGGGTGGCGATTAGGTCTTTTGTAATAAACCACACTCTTGTCATTGTGATGTAATGCATTGTGTTAGAATGCAAATGAATTGAAGAAAATGTGGGCGCGACGTGCGAAATTGCATCAAAATGTAACGCCGGGCACTTTTATTAAATTATTTTGTACAAAGTGCAAAGTTAGTTGAGAAAAATTGACGATAAACGTGTTGAAAGAAAATTGAAGGCAATAAACACAAATGTAATAAAAGTTTCAGGTCAGTAAAACAGGGTGGTAAAAAGTTAACACACACTTCGAGTCTATCGACTATTGGACGAATTTCTAGGACGAATGAGGACGCTTGAGTTGTGTTAACGAACGATGATGTGATAAAATGAATTAACATAAAATTAAAAAACACATGATAGATTACTAGCTGAAAACTGTTTTGTTGGAAAGAAAAGAAGCAAATAATTTGAGATGTTTGTAGTGTTTGTTCAACAGACAATGCTTCTTCGTATTCGAAAGATAATCTCGTTTTATTGACGTCTACAAGTTTGGAAGAAGCGTTTTTGAATAACAGAATACTCTTTTCAATAATAATTTTGTTTCTTTATCGCAAAAAGATAGCGTAACGGCTTTCTGCAAATATCAGTCAAAACAACGACGAACTTTGAGCACATTAAAACATCTTTTTATGTTGTAACATGTATTATGTTTGAATTTGAATTCCTTTAACCTCAATTGGGCTGAAGAATTTTTTTTAAATTTTACGACTACTAATGAAACTAAAGCATAAATATAAGGACAGTTGAAGTACTAAATAATAATTTAATTCTCCACCAAAGTTTTGTAGTTGAAAATTAAGATATAGAAATAAATTAAAGTTAATTCGATTTGATTTTATTTAGATATCTTTTGAGGCGAGTTAATTGAGTCACTCTGTATATGTGCATGCTGTGTTAGTATTTTTCTTCCGGTAGGAAACTTTATTGGCGCCATCGACCTGTGCCAATAAATCACTAGATCAAAGACATAAAACTAAAAATTATTTCTGATACATTGACGTCTCGTTTCAGCCTGCATTCTGTCTTGTGTAAATCTGTGGCTTTTGTGCTTTGCGATTTTTCAGCACGCTGAAATATTCGAAGAATTTTTCCGCAAAAACAGCCTATTAAAAATATTAAAGGTATGTTTGCGCTGCTTGAGTAGCGAGTAAACGGCTCAATTTGGCATGATTTCGCCATTCATTCCGATATGATTTCGCTTAAAAAAACGAGTGAAAATGTTCCCGTAGTGCGCCAGATGTCGTTTATTAAATCGCTGTCACATTCCGGCG